CTCTCTACAGTGAAACACTTTTGAAGAGTTTTTTTTATCCTATTAAAAAAGAAAAATCGATATTTTAATTATTGCATGAATTTTTATGACGAGTTGAAAAGAATATATATGGCCGTTAGTCTACTTAAAAATGAGTCATGAGATAAATGATAAAATTTTATTAGAAAATGCTGTTTATTGCACTTTACGACTATTCCTGTATGGGAACTTTATACATATGCAACAGGTACGAAATCGATCAAATAAAAAAAAAATCTCCGTGCGAGTGTTTATCACGTATAATAACCTTACTTTGCATGAAAATCACGAAATTTGTTCCCCACTTGGAACGAAGTCGGCTCAGAGTATTCTCTACTTAATTTATCATAGAACATTTGAAATTTAAGTTCCAATTGGGAGGACTTAACGGAATGCAGTACAGACTTAAAAATCGAGAAGTATCGAGATTTTTATCTCGAGAGATAAAGATAAGATAATTTAGAAAGGTTGATGAATTAATCGATGATTGATCTAGATTTTTTTTCGTAGACACAAGTTTTTTTTACAAGTGAATATAAATCGAAGAAACGAATTATCCGACGATTGACGTTCCGCCTTCTTTTCTTTACTTAACATTTCCTTCGCGCGAAATTACACGCTTACGCGGCGATGCATCAAAGGGAATGCAATTTTCGAAATTGCAGGGTATCGAAGGCCGGATCGATTTATTAAGAAAGATGAAAGAATCGCCACGTACGAGATGTTGAACCATCTACTAAAAAAAAAAAAAAAATTAAACTACGCGATTAAAAAGCTTTTATATTATTAATTTATGCAAAAATGATGGTTTTCCAACGAGTGTGGAAATCGACGAGATATATACTCGTCGATGTCGACCTCCTACGACAAACGTTCGACAAGAATTCGAAAACTCTTCGATTTTCGAAACGATTCCCTTTCGCTTTTCTTTCCCCTCTCCCTGGCTTTCTCTCCTCGGCCAACTTCCTCGAAAGGAATTCTTTCCCGTTGTAAATTTTATTTTTCAACCGATTACTCGCGGAGGCGAATCCTTGGAATGCGTGTGGTGTATGACGACGCGTGGGCTCGTCTTCTCGAGGTATGTCAAGGAAAACGAGCACCGCGCAATGTACGAGTTGAACGATATTGGAAAACGTACGAGGCCTTCGTGAATCGTGTCGAGAACAATGGGCACGCGCGTTTATTATTCTTAACGATGGAGGAGAGGTCGCCGAATTCTGTCCAAGGACGTTAGAATATCCATATTGAGACGCTCAATATCGATAAATGATATTCATTTTTTTCTTATTTATCGAAATTATTATCGAATTCGAGGAAAATTATTTTTCGGATGGATTGAACGAGTATTTGAATATTCGAAAAAAAAAAAAAAATTGTTTACAAATAATGGGAAATATACTTTTTATATACTGCATTGATCGAGCCTGCATAAACACACAGTGTGCGATAATAAGCGTAAGTTTCTCAGGAAAATAAATATACGGGTAGAGAAAAAAGAAAAAAAAAGTGTGCCGTGTAAAATGGAGAAGAGAGCAAAGTAAATCATTCCCAGCTTCCGAAACCACTTAAACGGTTGTTGCGAGAAAAAGAAAGTGGCCGATCGTCTTCTCTTCTCGGCGTGACCTTCCTCGACCTTCCGATGCTGAACTTACGAGTTGTCGTTCAAAACATAATAATAATAATAATAATGGTGTTGTCGAGCGATCGAGGAACAGAGTATCAACTGTAACGAAGAAATGTTACTCAAGAGTTTCAACAAGTAATTGCCCAAAGTAACTTTATTATATAGTTTTATTAGACAATTTTTAACAGAGTTAACGCTCAACTCTGGATGGAAATCGTCGATTTTGGATCAGTGTATGTGACGAGTAGAAAAATGCGTGTGAAAATAGATATTTCTTTCTAAATTGACCGAATAAACAATTGAATAATTTATCCTTCGAAACGTGATAATAATTGAAAATAATTGAATTATAAGAGCAACGAATAAATGTTATTCAAGCATTTCAATTACTTAAATGTAATTTTACTCCAAATTTTTAACCAATCAATGCCCAAATTTGGATACAAATCGTCGATTGTGTGAGGCAAAAATATATTAAAATAGGCGTTTCTCTCCAAATTAACCGATCCGCATTTCTTCCGCGAGATTTTTTTGATCGGGAAAATTTAATAATCGAATAAAGTTACTTCGATTTATTTATCGTTCGAAATGCGATTGCAAAAATAATTGGAAATAATTTTAACGCCAAATGGAACAACTATATTTATTCGATATTTTTAACTAGTTAATGCTCAACTTTGGATGCAGAATATCGATTTTGGATTAATATACGTTCCTTCCGAGGGGGAATAATATACTTCTTTCGACAAATTCGACGGGATAAAGATGTTAATAAGCGGCTGGAGTCGAAAATGGAGTTATTTCTCGAATCGTGAGGATAGCTCAAAGTTGCATCGAGATCGACGATTCGAACGTGACCACTTTTTCTCAAATTTTTTTCATCTCTTCCACGAGACTTTCTTCTTTCTCTGGTCGAAGTTACGAATGGCTATTTCGATAATTAATTTATCGCAATCAAAACGTAATAATAATAAAAATTGGAAATAATTGTAATATTAAACGACTACGAGACAGCATTTCAATAAATAATTACTTGAAGCAAACTTTAAGTTTCGAAATTTTTAACCATCATCATTTTTTTATGGCTCTGGACGCCGTTTACACACCACTTCTTTTTATGAGAACGATCTCGATGAAAGTCTCGAGATCAGGAAATTTGTCTCAGAGTCTCAGGTGTTCAATAACGCACGAACGGAAGCAAACGTTCCACTTCAACTTTTCCCAATTCTGGGATAGAATCGTGATTACGTATGGCAGAGATAAAATACGATGATGCTTTCGATTCTCACTCGAGGTTCGATCGATTTAACGGATGGATCGCTAACAAATGATCGAAAGGGATATAAATTGAAACAAAGTAGAGGAGAGGAAGAAGAGTCGTTAAAATTTACAGTCGAAAAATTCGCGATTTATTCGATTATTATTCCGGATCAGTAATAATTGGGTTTGCTTCCGCGCGTTCGAAAAAGATGATTGGGTTAGAAAGCGAGGCAAAAGATAGAGCCGTGACGGATAAATTGAGCAATTTTAAAATAATTAAGTTTTTATACCGGCTGTTAAATATTCCTCGAGGCGCGCGTAAAATATTGAATATTCATTCGCGTTAATCGAATTTGGCGAGCTTGTTGTTATTGCATCGTTTATGATATCGATCTATGCAAATCTCAGACGATCCCAATGAATCGATTGATCGTATCGTTACGCAGATTTTAAATGCTTCCAAATCGTCTGCCTGATTCTCCTCTCCTTGTCTCGATTTCGAATCTTTCTGCAAATGCGAAGGAAATCGATCCGTTCGTTTACAACTAATTTGCAATTGTTCTAAAAGATCAATAATTCTATAATTCTTTATATCTAAAAGATCAACGCCATAATCGCCATAATTCTTTATATCTCCAGATATATATAGAAAAACAAGAATTAAAATTGACAATGGATCGAAGACACGAGAAGAAAATTAATACAAAGAACATATATATATATATATGGAAAAAAAATTGGAATCGAAATATTGTATTACTTTCTTGCGTGCAATCACTCCATTCACAATGGATTTCCATTGAGAAAAAGAAGTTTCAGTGAAACTCGCGCGTTAATTAACGATTTAACAACAGCAGTGGACAGGGCGGAGTTATGCGATTGAGAAAAGAAATTTCACGAAACGTCGTCGTCATCGTGTTCGTCGTCGTCGTCGTCGTCGATGGACTTTCACTGCCAGGTCCCTGAACCCGACGCTCGTCCCTTCCTCCCGCCGTTCGTGAACTTGAAAACCAGACCCAGCCTCGAAAAGTTTCGCAAAGTTTCTTCCTTCCTCCTCCCGACTCCACACCTGTTTCGTTTTCGCGTCTGCATCGAACGGAGAAAGTACGGCCGAGTATAAACCTGCTTAATTTTTCATCCGCCTCAATTTCGATTCCTCGTCGCGTTCGGATCGAACGAAAAAAACAAGCGACCGATTTCTTCGAGAAATTGCGAGAATCGATGGGAGAAGAAAAAAAAAAAAAGAAAAACTCTCGACGATCTTTCCATTTCCCGAATAAATCTCTGAAATTCTCAAAAATTTCAAAAAAAATACTTCGATCCCGTCGAAAATCGTAATTTTTCCAAAGTTCGAGAGAGAGAAAGAAGAAAAAAAAAATAATCGATCGCGATCAGATCGAATTTTCCGCCGTTTTTCGACAGCATCGGTTCGGGAAAAACAAAAACTCGACAATCTTTCATTTCCTGTGTCCCAAATAGATTTCGTTCAACCTTTGAAATTCCTTCAAAGATTAAAAAAAAAAAAATACATTCGAAACTTTTCCAAAATTCGAGAGAAAAGAAAAGAAAAAAAAAAAAATAATCGTCGGTTGCGATCAGATCGGATCGAATTTTCCGCCATTTTTCGACAGCACTTAAATAGATTTCGTTCATCCTTCGAAATTCCCTGAAAAATTAAAAACATACCTTCGATCTCGAAAATCGAAACTTTTCCAAAGTTCGAGAGAAAAAAGAAAAAAAAAATAAATAAATAATCGTCGGTTGCGATCAGATCGAATTTTCCGCCGTTTTTCGACAGCACCGGTTCGGGAAATCGGTTCGAGGGGAAGGAATCGAGGGGGAGGGACGCCGCGACGGAAGAAGGCGAAGGCGAACGCGGGAAGTAGGTCGGAGAGAAGTGCCGGTCCTTCGTCGGAGACACGAGGAGCCGCTGACTGAGCGCCTTCCTCAGTCTCGCCAAGATATTCCGGGAGTCAACAGGTGCGTAGGAGCAGGCCTCCTCTTGCCTTCTCTTCCTTTGGGGGAAAAAAAAAATAGAAAAAAAAAAAAATAATATATATATTCGCCTTCCATTCGACGCGCGTCTCTCCTCTGCCGCGTCTATCATGCGGATCTGATCGATCGTTCTATTATATGTATATATGTATATATATATATATATGTATATATATTTGTGATATTTTCTCTGTCTCTTGTTATCGATATCGTGACTGGACACGAGCCGAATCTTGGATCGAGCACTGGATCAACACCGGATCGAAGCATTGCATTTGAAATATGGACATATTCAAGGTATTTATATATATATATATATTATTTTCATTCTTTTCATTCTTTTTATTCGCGATTTTGAATATTATTTTTTTGAACATTCGTATCGTCGAAACGGAGTTTTTAGTTGGAATATTAGTTGGAAGTCGAATTCGCACGCACTGATTCCTTTTTCCATTATGCTCGTCTCGTAACGCCCACATTGCGGTTTATTATCCTCCAACCCGGCCATTTCACGTCTCAGTGACAAAAGTTGAGAGACAAAAGAATGATCGTTAATTAGCAGGGGGAGGAGAGAGAGAGAGAAGGAATGCACGATCCACCGGTTTTCTGGGGCGGAAAACCGGCGGCGACACCGATGGATCGGGGCCACCGATTCCTTCGCCCGAACGAAATTAATCGCGCGTTAGTCGAGCTGGTTGCAATTTTTATTACGGTTCCCGTATGCTCGGTAATGCAGGAATCTCTTCGACGACCAAGACTTATATCCTCTCCTCGCGTTTTCTGCTGTAATAATTCTTGTCACTTGTCCAAAGTGACGTTTCTTTCTAACAGTTGGAATTATTGATCGATCGAAATATTCGATCCTTCCCTCTCCACATTTCCCTTGCAAGTTTCGTGCAATAACGAAAAATCTTAATTTCTTCAACCCCTTGCTGGTGATTTCCATTCGAACGATAAATTCCGTGACGTAACGTGAATTGGTTACATTTTATTATTATTTGAAAATGGAATCCGTGAAGGAAGATCGATTAGCAGTTTCTCGTAATCGGGCGTGGATGACGAAGGAAAGTCAGCAGAATGGAAAAAGTGGATCGTCTCGTCGTTGACGCGTGGTCGGGGAAAGCATGTCGTTCCATTTCACTTGTCGATAGACCAGACTCGAACCTCCTCTAATTCTCCACCTTCTCGACCGTACTTTTCTCATTCTTCCGCAACGAGATTAAATCACGAGCTCGGAGGAGAAAAGCGCGAATCCGAATTTTTCGAAAAGGAGGGAGACAAAGTTTGCTGTTCTCACTGAGAGAAAGAAAAATTTTGCACCGTGTTCCGTCCCAATAACGGATGATGCACACGTAGCGTAGTAATATCTTCTTCAAACACGATTCAGGGAAAATTTCTCCTCTCCTCTCGAATAAATAACACGCGTTCGAGCGTCGAACAATAGCCTGGAAATATGAATAATCATTGGATTAATAATAGAAAGTAGTCAGCCGGGTTACTGCATCGCTATTTTCTAATCTCGGGCCAAGAATACCGCAGATTTCTGCGAGCCATTAAATTTCTCTCTTCTCTACACACCTGGGAGTATACCAGTGGAGAAACGTTACGCCACGCTTCCTATATCCAATAATTAATCGCAAGGTCGTACCGGCTCGTTTAAAAGCGTGAGCCCGATCTTCCCTCCACCGTGTTTCGAAACTTTCCTTCGCTTTCGATCGTTTAATTTTTCCCAAAAATTAATTGAAAAATCGATTCGTAAAAGATTTGTAAAAGAAAAGAAGAGTTTCTCGCCGAAATAATTTAAAGAGAGAGAGAGAGAGAGAGAGAAAATCTTCGTTCCACTCGAGACTCGATGTGAAATGTTAAACGGGTTTAGACGGGTTGATCTTAGTTGGGAATAAAGGAGGAAGCGTAGAGGAGAAAGTTAGTTCGATGATTCATCGCGAATGTAATATGTATCGCGCGTTATTCCTCTTTTGTTCCGTGCAATTAAACGGGTTTTTGTTGGAAGGTATTCCTCTCGAAAGTTAGCTAGTTTCACGAGAGGGTTTCATCGCAAAAGGCATGATATATATATATATTCGATTTCCAATTTGTAATAAGGAATGGAAAATATCGATTCCTGTTTTTTGTAATAACGAATGTTCGAAATGTCATGGGTAGGACCTCTTCTCTGAAATATTCTTCCCGGAACACAAGCTTATTTGCAATGCTAATTCCCGAAACGAGTCTGGGAATTTCGTGATAAAATCATCCTCGATCCCTCGGTTTCACCGATTTTTATCATTCGTACGGTTTTGCTACACCAATTTCTCGATCGGGTTTCACCCGATAAAGTATTCCGACGACGCGATACGAAAAGTGAAAGCGACCCTAAAAATCTTTCCGAACTGGCTCGGCCGAAAAATTCTCCAACCTTTCGTTTTCAATAACGAAAGGATGTAACGTGGGGATCGAGTACAAGATCGAAGTTTATTACACGAAATATTAATCGATCCAAGCCTCGTCGATTGACGAAAATTCGAAATTCAATGCTGGTAGGTTGCAGAGTTGGGAGGGCATTAAACTCCGTTGAAAGAGTAACTGGTATTGCAATGCAATTATAAAAGTATTAAAAATTTCGAATAAACGAGGAAAATTTTAATAAAGTCTCGCGAAATTTATTCTTCGAATAAATTCGCAGTGTTGATATTTAATAATTTATTGGAAAAGAGAAGAATACATTTTCTCGTGTTTTTCTATCTCGAACGTTTCATCGATGTTAACGTGTCATCTGTAACATCTGCGGATGATTAGTGACTTTCTAGTTATTATCTAGTGCCCTAGACTAGAGTTGGAAAAAGTAACTAGTTAAAAATATCGAATAAAGTTACTTTAATTATTAGTTGATCCGCTTTTCGTATAACCTCGATCGTTTGCCATTACAATTATTATTATTATTATGTTTTGGACGATAAATTATCGAGGCAAGTATTCGTAACTTCAACTATTAAATTTTCCCCATCACTGAGTGGAAAGAAGAATGCCGCTCTGATTGGTTAATTTGGTGAGAAACGCCTATTTTCACGCGTATTTTTGTGTCTACCATGATAATCATGTATATTAATCCGGAGCACTTAACTTGTTGAAAAAGTAACTAATTAAAAATTTCGAATAAACGTGGTTGATACATTTGGCATTACGATTATTTTCAATTATTTTTGCAATTACATTTCACACGATAAATTTTCGAAATAACTTTACTCGTAATTTCAATTATTAAATTTTCCCCATCACTGAGTGAAAAGAAATCTCGCCGAAGGAATGCGGCTCTGATTGATTAATTTGGAGAGAAACGCCTATTTTCACACGCCTATTTTTCTCTCTGCCATAATATTCGTCACGTATACTTATCCAAAATCGATATATCCAAAGTTGGACATCGAAGTAATTTTATTCGTAATATTAAATTTTCCCCATCACTGGCACGATGAAGATTAAATATCCACGTATTTTAACAATTATCCACTATTACATTCTATTTTACAAGTTTCCATCGTTAATATGAATCCAACACGATCATCTCTGCACTAAGCATACGAGGAATATTTGAAAAAAGTTCCACCCCAAAATCTGTGAAGACATTTCGAATATTTCCTTGGTTCCAAAAAAATCCAAATCCATGAATCGCGATATTTCCATTCGTTCATTGGTCGCAATTGCACAACACTCTAAATAGAAGGCACATACGCGTTCAAAAATAGTTCAAGCGTGGCAACCTCGTCTTTTCAACGAGCCTCGTAATACGCGTTTATTTATTTTTTCTTTTCAAATCGATTCTAAACGTAGAAATTTCATTCGCGATAAGATCGACCTTTTTTTGCATTGGAAGGACGTGCACAGATAGCGAGACCGACTTTCGAAAACCTTGCCGGAATAAAATCGCGCGTTATTCGTATGCGCTCGGTTAAACGCGACGGCTACGCGCCTCGATTTTATAAAAAATAAACACGTGAGATCTAATTTAAGAAACACGAGTTTTTCTCTGCAGTACAATAAAAATCTTCTCTCCTCTTTTTCTCTCTTTATCTCAGATAACGTTCATCCTGACGGCGATGGCACTGGTCGTCTCGAGCACCGATACGGCGGATCTACCGAAACCGAGCTACGCCAGAACGATGCTGAAGGTATCGCGAAGCCTTCCAGGCGAGACCGAGGAGTTGAAGGTGCGCACGAGCGAAGGGAACGTGGCAACTTTGATCGTGAAACGTAGAGAGAAATCGGCGAACGAGACGAAAAGCGTGCCGGAGGACGAGAATTCCCATGATTCTGGGATGGCAACGAGCGCGGGGAACGGGACGTATTGGAACGCGTCGATAAAGTCCGAGGCGAGAAGCAAGGAGGAGATAAAGAGGCTGGAAGACGCCCAGATAGAGCAACTGAGAGCGAAACTGTCGGACGAGGCGGACGCGAGGAAAAGCTTCTCGAAAGCTGAGAACGAGTCTGCGGGGGAGGACGAGGACGATCGGCCGCCTATCGGCGAGAGGAATATCGATTACGGGAACTGGACGCCCCTGGGTATGGACGGAAGGGCTGTCGTCCGACTCGAGGGATCGAGCACCGAGGAATACCAAAGTTGGAAACCCCTTCGAGCCTCGAAGACGACCACCGCCGCCACCATAGCCGAGGATAGATCAAACTACGCGAGGTTCGATCCCGTTTTCCCTGCCGGTGGACTGCTACTGCCGCGCCATCTTCAAGACAGATCGCAGAGGAAGCTGGAATTAGGGGAGAGCGAGGAGGGGACGCGTTACGCGTTCCTGCCGCATCAGGTGCGCTCGTCGAGGACCAACGTCGGGGCGAACGCGTCCAAGAACAGGGATGGTAAGAACGTGCCGGCCGAGGTGGTGGTCAGATCGGAGATAAACGTGAAAACGAGCCCGAAGAGGTCGGCGATGACGTTGGACGGGGATGGGACACCCGTGATCCACGGGAAAAGGGTCCCGGACGAGCCGATCGACAAGATTCAAACTTGGCGGAACGCTCGGGTGATCAACAACAAATTGATCCACGATGGGGCATCCAGTGGGGGAGATAGCACGGGGGATCTCACTTCAAACTTTTATCCGACGGAGAATGTTTTAGAGAGGCAGAGGTTCGAGAGGTTCTTCCAGAACGTGAATAGAAGGTGAATACGGTTTTTAGTTTAGATCGTTTCTTTCGGATTGATACTTGTAAGCCTGTAGAAGGTGATAGGTTCGGAAAGTAATTTCGTTCGAAATCAAGTTTCGCGTGATCACGAATGAAACCGAATTCGACAAATTCAATTTAGCAAATTTAATAATTTCTCGAGTCGTTGTTCGTCGATCGGCTTCGATTGGTCTTTCAGAATGTGGCGCGTCTTTAACGTCGAAATTGTTGAAATGAAATCTTGAAAACGAGTTCGTTCGACACTTGCGTACTGTTAATACGTCTCCATAGACACCTTCGCATAACCTTTTTCTTGCCTGAACGGCATTCTTACCTTCTCGATGATAAAAAAGTAAAATATGTCGAAAATGCTTCTTTCGATCTTGCATCTTGTTGTTATCGCACACTAAAAACACAACCGCGCAGAATCGAACGAAATTTTTCTTATAAATAAACTATGAAATGCCAAGTTTCAAAATATATAATAACAACACACGGTTTAGAACGAAGTTGGCTGGATAAACGTTCGACTAGCGACACTCGTGTGAAAAGACGAAATTACTTTCCGAACAATCCAGTATAAATCGATATGTTCAAGCAAGTAACAATTTGAATTTTATAGAATGAAATTAAATCGATAAATTGAAATATTGGTCTGATAAAAGTGTTATTTTTGATAAAATATTTATGGAATAAATTTTAAATGTAACTCATTTACCTACATATTAATTTCTTTCTTCTATCTTTATCGATAAATTTGAATAATGCATTTGTCCGACAACGATCGATCGTAGAATTTTTCCGTACGATTATTAAATTTAATCGATGATTAAATCGTTGAGATAAAAGAATAATTCATCGTTCGTAATCTTCAATCAACCAACCAACAGGTACGGTAAAGAGTACGAGGAGGAAGGGAAGAACGTGTTCTTCGAGTGGGATCCTAAGAATTACAAAAACGAGGCGTTGAAAGCAGAGGTGTACGAGGCAAGAACGGACAGCTATCGAAGCAACGGGCGCAAACGAATGCTCCACCCTGACGGAGTGTCCGTCTACCCCGTGTCCCAATTGTACACGCCCGAGAGCCAGAAAATAGCGCCAATCGCCCTGAAACCGGGCGCCAGAGCGCCCGTCCTCCAATACGCCCATCCGGAATTAGGCGTCCAACCGGCCAAGATCGTGAAGAACGAGAAGAAACGGCCCGACAACTTTCCGGAGAATCAGTACTCGTTCACGGAGCAAAGGCAGAAGAAGAAATACGTGTTGAACGACAAGAACATCGTCGACACCTACACGACGAAGAATTACTATCCCAACCAACATTTTTACGGATTGAAGAGGCCGAGCGATGCCCCGTTCTGGGTGAAAATCTCCGAGAACTTGAAAAATCAATTCTCGAACAGCGTGGAGAAGATGTCGCAATTCACGAAACCGGTGATCGATCCCCTGGTGGAGGCGACCCATAAAATTTCCCAAAACTTGGGCCTCTCGAACGGGAAGGAGGCCCAGGACAAAGTTGGTACAGTCACATCCGGCACCAGTATCCTGATCCCGGCGCTGGGCCTCGTCGCTTCAGGTGCCGCTCTTGGGATCGGCGCAGTCGCAGTCGGCAGATATCTGGACGTGGATGTGTTGAAAAGATCGAATGACGCGTTGGCATACGGCACCGAGGTCGAGTATCAAAGAGCTTTGGACGAGGAGTTGGCGGGGCGGGGAGGAGATGGTAAAACAGGAGACGGAACGTACGACGGGACGGTGTACTTGCTCGAGGAAGGGAAGAGGAAGGGCGAGGAGGGCAAGGTTGCGTCGTCGAACGATCGAGAACGAGGAGTTTTGTTGATCGTCGAGGAAGAGGATCGAGGAAAGGGGAGGGAGAACAGAGACGAAAGGATGGAAGATCAGAAACGAAATTTAAGAAGGAGACGGAGCCTCAATTACTTGGACGTGTTCCAGGCTGAGGGGAATTTGAAAAATTTGATCAGGAATAAACGTCTTCAACGAAAAGGAGCCGATTCTATTAGCGAGATCGTGGAGATAGATCTTCCCGTTCGTAAGGACAGCGTAAACGGTGTGACGGAGTTTCTCGTTCCGGGGAGAAGGACGACGGATCGAGTTGCGCCCTCTCCCAACGAGGAAGCTCCCGCCATTTTGATAATCGACAGTGGCTCCACACCGGCAAAATTTCTTCAAACCAACGACGAGGCCGACAACGATACGAAAAATTCAGACTCGAAGAACTCTGTGGAGGATGAGACGAGAGATTCGATAGACGGGAGAGATGAGAGACGAAGAAGAAGGAGAAGCGTCGAAAGCGATCAGGAATTGGAGGATGCGCTTCAAAATTTGGAGAACGCCGAGATCGCGGAGGTGGCTCACATAGATGGAGACTGGACGAATACGCCTTGTGCAAAGAGGATATTTTGCGACACCATGATCCAGAGAGGGCCAGACGCTGTTATCACGATGGAGAAGAAAATGGCCGCCCTTTTGAGTCTGTGAGTATCGCCACAACTTCGACTTATTAAGGCAGTCGATACTTTCTAAGAATTGTTTTCCTCCCTGTTGAAAAAAGTTGTACGGTTACAAAACACACGGGGACTCATTCACTCGTGTGATATAATGCTGGTGCGTGTTGATTAGCATATTACGTTACGCAGTAGTCGACTACGTTTGACATTTTACCTTTCGGTAGATCGTAATCTTTCTTTTTTTTTCCGAAAGATATCGTATTTAATCTCGCATAAGAACGATAGAAGAATCGCGAAGAATTTGACGAGAGATTGCGGATTCATGGTGAAACCTCGTGTTCGAGTAGAAATCATTTTATGATCGATATTTCGAGGACGGGACTTGACGTTTAAATTCGAGATCGATTTCCTATCATCGTATTCTTTCTCTAGTTTTTTCTGGACACGCGCGTTGCCTGTCACGGCGAAGATTCACGACACGCGTGCACACGTGTATGCACAAAGTGAAATTGTGCTAAGAGGTAAAAGTCGAATCAGTCAGTAGGACGTCGCCGGCGAAAGCTGAGAAGAAAGTTATCCGTTGCTTGTTATGCTTCCGACCGACCGCTTCTTCTTTCCTTTACTAACGCACTCGTCTGCCTGTAATGGCTTTGTTCAAACTTCGAGTTTCGAACGTGTGAGCAGGAGAAATCGAAAAATTTGAGAAAAAGTAGTTACGTTCGAATCATCGCCGAGATTCGTCTCATACGTTCGATGTAAACGATGTTCGATTTATCAATTTCGTACGACTCGATGCAATTCTAACCTACCGTTACGATTCGAGAAATAACTACTGTTCACTGGTGGAAAGAAGTCTCGCGGAAGGAATGCGGATCTGATTGGTTAATGTAGAAGGAACAATTTTCACACGCATTTTTGTCTACCGTGGTATTCGTTACATATATTTCACAATCGACGATATTATCTAGAGTTGGTTGTAAAAGTAACTAAGTACTAAAAGTAGTTAAAAATTTTAAAGAAAATTATTTTAAACAATTATTCATTTAAATGCTTGAATAATATTTATTCGTAGCTGTATACCGTTTGCTACAATTATTTCCAATTATTATTACGTTTTGAACGATTATCAAAGTAATTTATTCGTAACTTCAACTATTAAATTTTGTCCTTTCATTGTCTTAAACCTCGATGCATTAGCATAGACACAGAATCCAAAGTATTCTAACCTCGATATAATATAAAAATTTTTTTTTCTCATAATTTAGCATAGGCTAATTACAATTCGTAACGATAGTTTAAATTATAAATATTATAATTTGTATTCGAGTAGTTAATTGTACGTATATTATAGATAGATCCTTAACTTGGTAAATGAAAATAATTTTTACGATTCTCAAATTACAGTTCTTCTACTACTATGTAACGTATGGTCTCAAGATTGTCAACAAAGCGTTTAAAGTGGGGATAGACAATCGTCCTAGAAAACTCTCTTACCCCTGTATCGTCTTGCCAGGTTTCTTTTTAGCAGTGAATAACACTTTCGATTCCAACTACTTATTAACATCTTTTCATCGAACATCGATTACATATCCTCATTCTATTATCTTGAATATCGAATGCCTCTGTTCTTTTCCAACGAATTTTTTCAACTTCTCAACTCTTCATTATTAATACTCGTTGAACAATTTTCACAGAATTCAACCAGGAGCAGCCGTCCAAGTGTCGAGCCATTTCCAACAGGTTATGGACGCGGTGCGAAGACACGATTGTTCGAGCTTCTTGTGTCCCCAGGCTAGGCCCGGGAACGTCTTCTTCTAGATCCTTCTTTTAGATTCGACTCCCCCACCTCCTGGGGAAGGAAAGCGGAAATGATAAATCGTCGATTTCACGAACGCTGGTGAAAGCGTTCGGGACACTTCGATTCGACAGACTTGCTCTCCTTCTTCTCGAAAATTTGTTACGGGAATTTTTCTTCCTGCGAGCAAGATTTTCGTTCAAAAAAAATTTTTGGAAAAAATTCGTAGGACAGAGGGAGTCGAAAACGCGCCAGCCAAAATATACATGTACATATTTACCACTTTTATATTATTTAATATAAATCTGTGTAATTTAAGAGACTAGAGACATTATTGAATACGTTTTACTGGGAGGACCTGATCGCGTAAGTTATCTCAAATTTCACCTAGATTCTCTGCTAGATTAGATGTTAGAACGAAATCATTTCGATCATATATTTTTCTATTGTGCATATTTTTTTTTTTTTTTTTTTTTTTTTAGGTCAAATTTGAGTACTCGTTTGTGGGTCTGTCTTTTTTTTCTAAATGGATTTTTCTCGAGGGATCGGGAATCGAGATCTCTCGAGAAAATCGATGGGTAATACGGTTGTAGTACATCTTATTTATTTTTACGTTTTTATTATCTTATCCATACTTCAATCCGTGTGATAAAAAATAAATTATTATATCCTCTTTACAATTATCAGATTCGTTACTTAATTTTCCCCGTTCTTTAACGATTGTAAATAATTTATATGGTATAAATGATATTAAATATTGTCGTATACGAGAAAAAAATTTCATCCGATTTTGTAATTTACAATTTATCTATCGAATAAACTAATTTATAATATTATACAAAATATATTTCTTTTTCAACCTTGTAACATCCTCCGCGAAAAAAAGAATTTCTATTTTTATCCTCGTTCAATTTAATTCCAAGGCGAAAGAAAAATATCCGAACTTCGTAACAATAAATTTTGCCAATTCTCGAAGCTTCTTATTAAAAAAAAAAAGAGATGGAACGAAGTTGCCGAAGTAAAAGTTATTCGATTATTAAACGTTCAATGGAGAGAAGTACAAAGATACAGCGAAATATTTACAAGATTAAAAACGGCCTCCTGGATGGATGGAACATGGACGATTCGAACGAGAGATGGGCAGATTTCTTCGTCCACCTGTCCTTCGTAATCGTGTTTAGAGCCAGACTCTACTTTTCATATGGGGAGATCTCGAATTGATCGTGGAAAAAATCTGTCCACGGCTAATATACCTGATGTGAACGTGAGGATAAAGCTGATGATCGCTTGATATACCATAAAGACTGTACTTTAGAAGGGGACGATATCGTTAATTTGAGTCGAGTTCGAGTTTAGATTGAAATCTCGCGTCTGTCAAGCTTTCATGACCGTCATAAAGTCGTTCCACGACGATTATTGGATTCGATGTTGAAGGTGGCGAGACTTGGAAGGATCGTCCCCAAGCGTGTTCGATTTTTATCTACCTGGCTACGCTCGCCATTTACCAGAGCGACAAACTCTGAGAAGATTATTTGGTCATGTATCCTGGATATTTTCTCTATATCCGTTGTTATTGACCAATTTTGGCCAAGCTAGGAGAATATTCGGCCACGGTCTGCTACACAGTGGACACGTTCATAGCTGGTAGTGCGGCCAATTTCAGATTTTGGATTGGCAAAAGGAATTGACCGTGATCGTGAGCAGGAACGAGCATCTCTATTAGTGGGTATCTAGTGATTTTGTTTAATCCTTTAACTGCGAGTACTTTTGGCACAGTTCTAAAAACGAGAAAAAAATATTTTACTTAAAATGAAATCATAATAGTAGACAACATAATTCTGATTATTTTATAAATTACAAAAAGTATACGAAGTAAGAAAGAAATGTCAAAATTTATACCAAAACTTCATCGTTATATTCGTCAACATTTTGCTCAACTTTTTTTTTGAGGAATTGGAAATAGGCGGAAGGCTTCATCCATATTAGGGAAAGTTCACTAGCGACCGAAATAAAACTAAACTTTTATCTTGTGCCAGGACAAAAATAGAATGAAAAATAAAAGCACGCCAAGGTATACATTTTATAATCAACGATAAGAAAAATAAAATGAAAATAAGTTATATACGTTCTTTTAAATTATATTACCGAAGTGATTTTTTTTTTTTATTTCAGTGTATTCAGTATATAAATCACCAAATTATATATCAAAGATATTACCAAAAATTAAGAGATGTTCAGTGATATTTTCCAACTTCTTTAAAACAGGGATTGTAAAAATGAGAAATTATGAATTTCGAATTCGGTTTTTCCAACTTTTGTCGATCTTCAAGCAGTTAAGAATCAGATCTGACATTTGCGTCGTTCAAGGTTCGCGGCCAAGATTGCTTCAACGCCTTGTTGCCGATTCAATTGTTGCTCGACTCTGCACCGTCGAGATATGCTTTCAAGGCTTCTTTCCCTTCAAGACGTGAGTCTTGTTTCTTCAAGATTTGTATCGCGAATCGATGATCAGGTATTGCTATGCGACGAGAATGGAATCTTCAACTTTCAATTTATTTTCTTCGTCCCCTCTTTATCGTCCTCGTACGCGTCTACCTTTATTGTTACATAGGCTTTCTCATCCAAATAAGTAATACTTCTTCCAGGATTCGATTATCATATTCATAAGTTCCGTATATACTCGTCTCATTTTCTATGCAAATTGAAAGCCGAGTATATCGGTATATTTCAATATATTTTAGGAATTCGGATAATGGCGGATAAATTTTGATATCTCGTCCCATTCTCGAAATTTTAATTAAGGAATAACTGGAAAAAATGAAAAAAAAAAGAAATTTTAATTTTTTAGAGCAAAGAAACGAGCGATTGCGAATTGATTCGATGTTACAATACCTGAAGCCAAATATCTTCTTGACAACTCGTCAGTGATAAATGCTCAGCACTGTTCTATATATTTTACCAAATATTTATACACATTTTTCGAGATATAATTCACGCGAAGAGAGAAACGAACGAATCTTGTTTTGATTTTAGATCGTGAAAGCAGCAAAGATTGGACGATCTTTAACGATCGCAAATTAGAGATATTATTTCACGAAATATGGAACGAACAGAAACTTTAGAACAAATATCACGTACCTTAAGATTCTTCGTGATTACAGCAAACACAATATTTCTTGTAAGAAGAATTCATCGATAATACTTTCTTCGAGCTCGACATATTTTTTTATCAATCTCCCGACACGAAAGTCCAAGTCTCTTTCGTTCGAAGTTTCGAAGACGAAGGGAAGATGGACGAACTTTTTCCATTTCCCGCTTTCTTCGATCTTTCGTTGTCGGTTGAGTCGAAACGGTTCAACAAATCACAGGTTTCTTTCGTTTCAAGTTGTTCTCGAAACAAAGTTGCGTGATTACGGCTATTAAAAGTTTCGATGGGGTTTTTCGGAATGCATTCGATCGCGGGAATGCGTAATGAAGGAAACGAAAGGGGTGCGCGGCGGATTCGTTCGTCCAATCGTTCCCGTCCAAGCGTGACGAATCGAATAATCGAGATAATCCTTGCGTGATAATTTTTAAAGTTTTCCATAAAAGTTTATCCAATTCTCGTGATATTTTCTCACGAAAATATGCTCGTCCGCTTTTGATCGTTCGATATATTTATAAGATTGTTGAAAAAAGGGAAGAATGGAGTTCGCGATGGGATGGAATCGCTTTAATTTGACGTTGCTCGGCGTTTACCCGGAACCGAGGAAGATGTCGAAAAACTCGCGATTAATGTCGAGCCTGATATTCTGGTTCACGACTCTCGTAACGTTCACGTTTATCTGCGCCCCCCAAACGGCGAATTTGATACTGAAATCGACTTCTTTGGACGAGGTGATCGAAAACCTGTCGATCAATATACCGATCGTCTTTGCACTGGTCAAGCAAATTGTTTTGCGATACTATAAAAAAGGTGAGTGTCAACAATCGATATTCGTTTCTCGAATTTAAATTTGCTTGAATATTTTATTTTTTCAAGTTAACATATATCGATCTAACATTCGATAATTTCATCAAATTTTTCAATTTTCTATAGCTATCGTCAAATCCTAATTTTAAACTTTTTAATTGAAATAAAAATTTCAAAGTTACAAATATTATAAAAATTACTTACAAATTCAAGTTTAACCAGAAATATTTTGGATTACGCGCAACAACTCGATAATTTGATTAAATTTGATCAAAACCCTAATTTTAAACTTTTTAATTATTATTAAAAATTTAAAAGTTACAAATATTATAAAAATTACTTAGAAATTTAATACCACAAATATTTTGGATTACATCCAAACAACAATTCGATAATTTGATCAAATTTTTCAATTTTCTATAGCTATCGTCAAATCCTAATTTTAAACTTTTTAATTGAAATAAAAATTTCAAAGTTACAAATATTATAAAAATTACTTACAAATTCAAGTTTAACCAGAAATA